AACCAACTGATCACATGCTCAAGAAGGACCATCAGCCTAACAATGGGTCATTAGCACCTGATGGCTGTTTACTATTCAAAGGGGGTTGAGTGATACTAGCAATCACAGCATTGTAAGATGGGGACAATTGAACCCGGAGGCCTCCACCCCTGTTTAATGATGGACGGTTTCTTTTCACAAAGATGGCCTCCTTTACTCCTCTCTCAAACCATCGTTCCTCTCTGTCCAGGATGTGAACATCTTCATCCTTGAAAACCTGAAAGCACAAAGCAGCCCTTGTGAACATCTGATATAATTTAAACATGAGGCGTTCACGGACACACCCAGTGTCTGATCTGGCAAAAGCTTTTAATAAATATTTACTCAAGATTCATTTCATCCATCGTCTTCATTTGTTCATTTAACCTGCAGAACAGGAAATGATCTCTTAAAGCGAGCAGCTTGTGTTCTTCAGATCTGATGGTGACAGGAGAAAAATCAGAAAAACTGACACTTAAAGCCGGGAGTACCGAAGCTAAAAGAACAGATGCTACATACAAATTCCAAAATGTGAACCAACAGCTAAAAGTAACAAAATATTAGCCAAAAACTAAAAGTAGTTTAAGTAATCAGGTCTGTCTTGTAAATGAGTCCTCGAGGCTCAATGGGATTTACCTGTCTAAATAAAGGTTGAAGGAAAAATAATAATAATAATAGCTATGTTGGTAAAAGACTAGCTAAAAATAAAAAGTAGAAAATAATTTGTACTAGCATTAGGCTGTAAAAAAAATATTTATAAGTAATAGAATGAGCATTATCTGTTAGCATCGGGTATAAAACAGGTGTTTCTTGTAAACGAGTCCTCGTCACTCATTGAGGATAACCTGTATAAATAAAGGTTGAATAAATAAAATAAAAATCAGCCGTTGTGATATTTGCTGAAGTAGTTCAAGCAGATTAAAAAGAACAAAGTTTTTGAAGGAACTGAAAACATATATGTGTATTTCTACCAGAAAATCTTTTTAAAAATGTTCAAAAGTATAAAAAAAAGGAGCAAAAGCCACAGAAGAGATCTCCTGAATCAGCCGAACATTCTGACCGATGAACAGCTAAAATGCTGTTTCTCCTGGTCTTAGTCCTGATACATGAACTTTTTTCAGATTCAGATTTCCTCTGTTTTAGAACCGTCAATGTTTTCCTGGTTCTCGTGCAGGTTCCTCAGTGGTGCACAGAGTTCGCCCTGTCCTTTGAGTTCTCCCATGGTCTGGTCTGCTGCTCTCAGCCGTACTCTGCAGCGGCGGTGAGTCTGGCTCTCCGAGTGGCCGATGAGATGGACCTGAGTCTGGGCCTGGAGGTGGGCTACAGGGTGTCTCATGATGACAGCTGCACACCTGACACCTTACTCAGGTAACAAGGGGATGGGTTCAGGGGACCAGATGTGGAACTCTTTAGCGTCAGGCAGAGGTTAATTTGAGCCGGATCCTGCCGGAGCAAGATCCGGGAACTCTCATTTTGACCGGGTGTGTTCTGGCAACTGTTTGCTCGGATCCAGCAACTCAAATATCCGCCCCTAAAAGTCCAAAGTCATCGCACATTTTTATTTTGAATATTTAATAAAAATACAACAAGAGGAGACGTTGCCCAGTCTGTGAAGTGGATGTTCCAGCCGCAGCACGTGCACCAGCTCGATCACATGCACCTTCCCAGGCTGGGAGGAGCAGGAGAGGAGCCTCTGGAGGAGGCAGGGGGTGAGGACGCAGGGACAGATGGTCACATTTACGCACAAAGGTGCTGCAGTGGAGTCCTTCTCTCCTCCTCCTCTCCAGGCATTGTCCCTCCTCAGCGGCGCTGCACTGAAAAACACCCTTCTCTCAGACCCCCCCGATCACTTAAGGAGGGTGGGGGGGCTGCAGGTCACATGACGCTGCTGAAGCGATCCATTCAGCAACAGAAACGATCATTTATTCAACAGAATAAATAAGAAAATGTGTTTCTTGTTGATGGATGAAAACCGGCTTCAGTGTCTGAGACGTGGACGGCATGAAGTGTCTTCATCCAACACTTTCAGCAGCGCGCCCTGTGGACAGTGCACGTTACACACAGAAACGTCTCCACACAGCTCTACACAGCGCACGCACAACTGCTGATGTGTCTGAACTCCTGCTACATTCAGACATAATAAATAAAAAAAGCTTAGTGTAAAAATAAAAGTAAAAATACAAAGAGAGAAATGTTTGTTATTCACATCACGTTTCAAAACAACGGCACTATTTGTCAAAATAACAGCGATGAAATTGTTGAAAAGACCGTCCAGTTCACTTTCATGAAATAAATAAATGGATGGATGGATTGTCCTTAGCTGGACAACCGAGAACTGAAGCCTTCAGGTGCTTCAAACGGTGCCGCTTGGAGATGGAGCAGGAGCAACAAATTCAGCAGAGAGGAGTTCAGCTCCGACTGTGAAGTTGGGGGCGGGAGGGGGGTGGGGACACCTGACAGAATCACAGCTGCTCTGTTCACACACAACTTGCTGTTCCTCTCTAAAATAGTCATTTAATCACGTGTTTACAAATGTAGGTAAATGTAGATGTTTGACAGTCCGTTCAAATACACCAGAATGGAGGAAATGGCATCTCTGTTATTCAACATTTTCTGTGGGAGGACCCACAGACACCCCCCGAAACCCTCCACACACACACTGTCCGCCCGCCCGCTGTTCCGGCATCAGTCGGTTTACAAATTAAGCCCTGACTTCAGGAGATCCCATCTGGAAACTCGTCTTATTTATCTGACATGACAGAACCAGAATCAGAGGAGGAACCATCTAAAGCACTCGACACCAAAGCAAAGCAGGAATAATGAGTTCTGGTGAAACTCAGGATGTTTCTAACCAGCTGTGAGGAAAAGTTTCAAGGGGGCGCACAGGAGGTGGTTCTACGGAAAGTCAAATGGGCCATAAATTATTTAAATTATGCACTTTATAATACCAGTATGGCGATAAGTTTGTGCATTTATTCACTAATTTTGATGTCAAGTATTGTTTCCCCAGACTAGCACTCAGCTAGCTGAGAAGCTAGTTGTTTTTTTGGGGGCGTTTTTTTGTTGTTGTTTTTTTTACTTTATGGATGGTTTTAGGATCCCCCCCCCCCCCCCTTTTTTTTATTTTGCATCAAGTTTAGACAGAAATACTGAAAACATTTTTTTTTGTTTGTACTTGTTAAATTAAAAGAGGTTCCTGTCATTGATGAAGTTTATTCATCCACAGATATTTAAAATAAACCCACAAGCAGAACATGGAAGTTGAGGCAGAGATGATCTGGGGGAGTGGTGGCGTAGAGGTTAAAAAAAGATGGGCCTGTGATTGGAATGTTGCAGGTTCAACTCCCAGTACCGTCAACATCAAAATGTGGGTGGAAAAGGTGAAACACCCACACCTGCCTCCACCCTCATTTGCCCCACTCTGGGCCCCTGAGCAAGGCACTCAACCCCACATCTGCTCCCTGAACAGGTCTCTCTTGGAAATGAGTTCTCGTGACTCAATGAGACGACCTGGATAAATAAAGGGTAAATGAAAAAAGAGACAAAAAGAGCAGAGCACCCTCTGGTAGCCGACTGCAGAATAAGATTAATTCCATTTTCTGAAATAAAACATTAAAATAACATTAAACACATTAACATTAAAATAAATGGACTGCACTTATATGTAGCATCTTTCTATCTTATCAAGATACTCAAAGCTCTTTACAACCCAGTGTGTGTCCTCATTTACCCATTCATACAGCACTCTACTAGATCTGAACAAAGAAGAATCAGAGCTTTATCACATTCATCGATGGGACACATCGGAGGCAGTGAGGGGTTCAATGTCTTGCCCAGGGACACTTTGAAATGTGACTGCTGGTGGAATCGAACCCCCAACTCTCGCATTAGAGGATGACTGCTCTAACCACTCTGCCACAGCCGCCCCGGCTGTGACCTAATAAAATACACAAACACATAAAATTTAAAAATTAGGTGTTGGAACTTGTTTATTCATGTAGTACTTGTTCAAACGTTTCTAAATGTTTGAATGTGTTTAAGAGGGTGGGCGGGGCTTAAAGCCTGACTTCCTGAGTCCAAAAATACAACATGCCTATGCCCACAAACCAAACATTATGACTGAACTCATGAACAATAAAAGTAGACAGAAACACTAAAGCCATCATTAACCCTCCTGCTGCCCTAGGGTTAAAATGGCCCAAAAAGGTTCATTTTGCCCCTAGAACAGCAGGAGAGTGAATCAGAGGGGAGGAGTTTATTGAACAGTTCAGTTTACTGTGACTGGATGAAGCCTGTTTGTGGTTGGGTTCAGTCGATGTGTCCTCTCCTGCAGCTGAGACCTTCTTCAGTCTGAGGAGGATCTGGGCTGGATTCTCAGAGGAAGTCCAGGTTCTCCCTCCCTCCATTTTATGCTGCTGCTAAAAGTAGCTACAGACGGCAGCACAATGGCTCAGTGGTTACACTGTTGCCTCACAGCAAGAAGGTCTTGGGTTCAATGCCCAGTTGGGCCTGGGGTCTTTCTGTGTGGAATTTGCATGTTCTTCTTGTGCTTGCGTGGGTTTTCTCCGGGTACTCCAGTTTCCTCCCACAGAACAAAAACATGCATGTTAGTCTGCCTTCAGGCCCAGGCCTCACTTACAGAAGAGGTCTGTGATCTCGGTGGGATTTGCCTGCTTAAATAAAGGTTAATAAAATAAAAAACAGATGGATTTTGTGTGTTCCTGTTAGTCTCAAAACAATCTGATTTCTGTAAAAGTCATCTCAGGCGGTCCTCTCCAGAATGAACCTGCAGCATACTGGACCGTTCATGATGTCATCACTCCATATATGGTCGTTCAGCTCCTGTTTAATGTCCTTCGTCCCAAAGGCTCTCAGATTAAAAAAAGTGTATTTTAAACCTAGAAATGAAGTCTGTGTTCCATCCTCAGGTTCGTCAGCGACTCCCTCCTGCTGCAGGAAATGATGTCAGGACCCCTGCTGCGTCAGTATGGCGTGGTGATCTTGGACGAGCTTCAGGAGCGCACTGTCTCCACCGACGTCCTACTGGGCCTGCTTTGCGACGTCTGCAGCCAGAGGCCCAACGACTTCCGGGTCGTGCTCCTTGCTCACCCTACGCTCGCCCCCTGCATCGCTGCCTTCCTCGGACCCTCTGTCCCTCACCTCAGCTTAGACAGCCTCACCGAGCCCCCGGACCGGGTCGACGGAGCAGAGGGCAGGAAGTCCTCAAGTGTGGTGGAGATCATGTACCGGGAGCTGTCGGGGAAGGCACTGCTGGCTGCTTCCTGTCACATGGTTCTGGATGTGCACCGGAGAGGAGAGGAAGGAGACGTGATGGTGTTCCTGTCTGGAGCTCAGGTGAACATTTCTTACTTTAACCACAGGAGAGACAAACAGCTTTACTAAAACAAACGAGGATGAAAAGTCTTCAGTCAGGAGAGACGTTCAGTCAACAACTGTTAGATGTTCACACAGCCATGTGCTGGTGGAACTCTGAAATCTGAGCAGCATTCTTCAGGTTTCACGTGCGTTTTGTATTTTTAACAAAAAAATGAGGTCAGTCCGTTTTGGTTCTGCTTGAGTTCAGTTTCACTTCCTGTTTGTCTGGAACAAGAGAAACAGAGTTTTGTCTGATGTCCTGCTGCTCACTTTTCCATTCAAAACTAACAAAAATAAATCACCACCTCATCTGTCTCATAAATATTATATTTTATTGTCATCAGAATCGAACCATCGCACTTTGACCTAAAACTCGGGTCATTTCCTGTTTCCTGTAGGAGATAGACGAGTGTTTGACTCTGCTGGAGAACGAGTCTGTGGCTCTGAATCCTCAGCTTGGACCTCTCAGGCTCCTCCCACTCCACAACGGACTGGGCAGTCTGACCCAGAGAGTATACGAGTCCGACCCACACACCTGGACGCCAAAGGAGACTGACGGTTCTGAGGGTCCGGGCATTAAACGGAGGGTGATCCTCACCGATTCTCTGGCCGAGGGTTCGTTCTGCCTGAGAGGAGTTCGTTATGTCATCGACACCGGCCTTCAGCTCAAAGCTGTGAGTACCAGAGTTTGTGCTCAGAGCAAAGCATGATGGGAAAAATCATGTCTTTATGCATGTCTTAAAAACACAACTTTCTGTTTTTGTTCAACAGGTTTACAATCCACAGATCAGAGCGAACTCCCAGGTCCTGAGGAGGATCAGTAAACACCAGGCTGACATGAGGACCCAGAGGGTCAACAGTCACCTGCCAGGTGGGCTAAGAGCCAGGACCTAAGGCCAAGGACCCAGGACCTAAGACCCATGACCTAAGGCCCAGGACCTAAGACAAAGGGTCAAAGAACAAAGACCCAGGGCCTAAGACCTAAAACCCAGGACCTAAGACACGAGACCCAAGATCCAGATCCCAAGACCCAGGGCCCAAGACCTAAGGCCTAAGACCTTGAACCTAAAACCCAGGACCCAGAACCTAAGACCTAAGACCCAGAACCTAAGACCTAGGACCAAAGACTCAGGACCTAGGACCAAAGGATCAGGATTGAAGACCCAGGACCAAAGATGTAGGACCCAAGGCCCAGGACCCAAGTCTCAGGACCGAAGACCTTAGACCTAAGGTCTTCGGTCCTGGGCCTTGGGTCTAAGGTCCTGGGTTTTAGTTACTGGGTCTTAGATCTTAGGACCCAGAGACCCAAGAACCAAGACCCAGGACCCAAGACCCAGGACCTACGACCCAGGACCTACGACCCAGGACCTACGACCCAGGACCTACGACCCAGGACCTAAGACCCAGGACCTAAGGCCCAGGACTTAAATCCCATGACCTAAGACCCAGGACCTTAAGACCCAGGACCTAAGACCCAGGATCTAAAACCCAGGACCTAAAACCCAGGATCTTAGACCCAGGACCCATTGTCAGTGTCAATTTATTTCTATAGCACATAAAAACAACAAAAGCTGACCAAAGTGCTTTTCAGTTAAGTCAGATTAAAAAGAGTAAAAAAAACATCTTGTGCCACTCAAAAGACATAAAGTTAACAATAAAATACAACCCACAACAATAAAAATCCGCTCTAACTGATTATCAGACTCTGCATAGATCAAATTCCAAGGAAAACAGAGGAGTCTTGATAAAAGATTTAAAAAAGTCTCAACAGTCTCAGCGGTCTTTAAATGATCAGGTAAACTATGCCACAGTTTTGGAGCAACAACCGCAAAAGCCCGATCCCCTCTATTTTCATTCAACCTTTATACAGGCTAGCCTCACTGAGCCACGAGGACTCATTTACAAGAGGGACCTGTTCCAGATAGAACATACAAAGTACAGACAACAATGACAGTAGACAATAACAACAACAAGAGTAAAAATGAAGTTAAAACAAGAGTATTGTACAAAACAACAAATCAGGGTGCCTTAAAACAAGGCGAATTACTAAAAACAAAAACATATCTGCCTTAATTTTTCCTTTGACATTATTAAATGTTTGAAACCCCTTAAAGAAATCAAGGTGGACAACCTCAGTTCTTGTTGCAAGATGTTCCAGGTGCAGGAGCTGAGTAGGAAAAGGCCTTTTTGCCAAGTTTGGTCCGCACTGAAGGAACGCTGCAGGTAATGATGGCCTGAGAGCGCATGTTGTAACTACACGGATGGCGTGACATGTGGGAAGAGATATAAGAAGGTAGCAGACCAAGGAGGGATTTATAGATGAAGATGAACCAGTGTGAGAGCTTATGTGTAAATAATGATGACCAACTGGACAAGGAGTACAGAGTGCAGTGATGGGTACAGTAGTTACAACCAGTTATGAACCTTGGCGTGCCATGGTGGACAACATCCAACATCTGCAAGGAGCTGGCAGGGGTATTCATGTACATAATGTCACCATAGTCAATGGCCGGTAGGAAGGTAGCGGTTACAAGGCGTTTTCTGGCATTCAGAGTTGAGCAAGATCTATTTCTGAAAAAGAAACCTAATTTTATCCTGATGCATGCTCAATAATCCAGGTAGAAAAATCTAAAAAAGTTCAATCTGGTCCTCTGGACATTCAAAAGGACAAAAAATAAAACAAAGAAAAAAAAATGTAGATACATTTCGTCTCTCATCCAAAAGACTTCCTCAGTCTGAGGTGCTGTATTCGGCTCAGTCTCTTAAATAGCACCTTCTCAGAGTGGATCAACCAGTTTGCTGCTGACAACCAAAACCAGCTGCTCACATGGTCGAGAAGGACCATCAGGAACCCAGACCAGTGGTCATTCTGTATGTTGAGGGAGTATCAGAGAAACTGAGACATTTATTTTCTAAACATAACGTCCCAGTGGCTTTTAAACCCCAAAATACATTACGGCAAAGACTGGTTCATCCCAAAGATCCAGTCTCCTGGCACAAACAGAGTAATATTGTGTATGCTGTTCAGTGTCAGGAGGGCTGTGATCAGTCTTACATCAGGGAAACTAAACAGCCACTGAATTTAAAAAGCATTCAATACAAAAACAACTGGACTTTATTTGTAACAGAAGACGTTTCGCTCCTCATCCGAGGAGCTTTCTCAATTCAAAGAGAAGAGAGTGAGAGATTCAGGTTATAAGGCTGAGTGAGATAAGACACACACACACACATATGTAGATTGGCAATTCACACCTAAACAAACTTAACAGTAAGAGTATTTTGTTCCTCTAATTCACAGACGAGGCCCCTCTGTTCCCATCAGGTGTGAAAACCGGCTGGGAATCTGTTTTAAAGTTGCATTATAGGTTTTTGAAAGTGGAAATCTGAGGCCGCCTCCTCTGTTAAGAGACGGCTTTTCTCTTTTTACATAAATTGCTTCCTTCACCCCCCTCTCAAACCATCTGTGTTCTCGGTCCAAAATGTGCACATTTTGGTCCTCAAAAGAGTGTCCCTTATCTGTGAGGTGGAGGTGAACAGCTGAATCTTGTCCAGAGGAGGTGGCTCTCCTGTGTTGAGTCATGCGTCTGTGAAGAGGCTGTTTAGTTTCTCCAATGTAGAGGTCTGGACAGTCCTCACTGCACTGGACCACATACACTACACCACTCTGTTTGTGTATGGGTGTTTTGTCTTTAGGGTGGACCAGTCTCTGTCTGAGAGTCCTGCTGGGTTTGAAATGTACTCGGATCTTGTGTTTGTTGAAGATCCTTCTGAATTTCTCTGATACTCCAGCAACATAAGGGATGACGATGTTTTTACGTCTGTTGTTCTCCTTTTTCAGTTTATTGGTGTGTTTTGTAGATTTCCTCACTGACTTGACAAAAGCCCAGTTAGGATATCCACATGTTTGAAGAGCTTCTTGAATGTGTTTCTGTTCCTTTTCCTTCCCTTCTGTCTTTGTGGGGACACGTTCGGCCCGATGTTGTAAAGTTCTGATGACAGAGAGTTTGTGTTCCAGTGGATGGTGGGAGTCAAACAGAAGATACTGGTCTGTGTGGGTTGGTTTTCTGTAAACTTCAATGTTGAGGCTGTCCTCTCTCTCCATCTGAACCAAATAGTCCAAAAAAGGCAGTTTGTTGTCGTTTGCATCCTCTCTCAGGCAGTTCTCTCAGAACCTAAGACCTATGACCCAAGACCCAGGATCCAAGACCCAGGATATAAGATCTAAAACCCAAGATCAAATATTTATTTTTAAAATCCAATCTAAACATTTGAAGAGCTATTTAATCTGACTCCTGGTGATCATAGTTAAATCCATCCATCCATCCATTATCTTCTGTTTGTTCTGAAGTCAGGCCATGGGGGCAGCAGCTTGAACAGGGGGGTCCAGATATCTCTTTCCACAGCCACCTCTTCCAGCTCTTCTGGGTGGATTTCAAGGCGTTTCCAGGCCAACAGAGAGACATAGTCACTCAAACGTGTCCTGGGTCTTCCGCGGGGTCTCCTCTTTGCCGGACATGCCCAAAGCACCTCCCTAGGGAGTCGCCCAGATGCCCAAACCACCTCAACTGACTCCTCTCAATGAGGAGGAGCAGTGGTTCTACTCCGAGTTTTTCCCAGATAACTGAACTTCTCACCCTATCTCTAAGGGAGAGTCCAGCTACCCTGCGGAGGAAACTCATTTCAACCCACTGTATCCACAATCTCATTCTTTCAGTCACTACCCAGAGCTCGTGACCATAGGTGAGGGTAGGAACGTAGACCGACCAGTAAACCAAGAGCTTTGCCTTACAGCTCAGCTCCCTATTTACCACACCACAACAGAACAGTACAGAGTACGCAATGCAGTAGTCCCTCGTTTATCACTGGTTTTCCGTACCATGCCCGCCCACAATATGTGAAAAAACGTGAAGTAGGGAGACAGTAGTTCCAAGTTCAAGTTCAGTAAACTTTGTCATGACGTGCCAGGCTGCAGTCACACTCATCACCTGTTACTCCCAATCTCCCTCCTTTTCATTCAACCTTTATTTAGACAGGTTAATCCTATTGAGCCTCGAGGGCTCATTTACAAGAGAGACCTGATTTCTTAACAAAGAGTGAGGACAGCAATGGATAACAACGATAACAATAGATAACAATGACAACAATAGACAATCATAAAATAGGCATACAAATGTAAGTTTCTCTTTTTCTTTTTTTTTACAAATCGAAACAAAATAGCAACCAAAAGGACAATCGAGGAATAGCAGCAAAAAACAGTTAGATCACAAGGCAATTTTTAAAACTAATTACAACACCTTAAATAAAAACATCTATCCATCCATTAACTTCCACTTATTCCGAAGTCGGGTCGTGGGGGCAGCAGCTTGAGCAGGAAGGCCCAGACATCTCTTTCCACAGCCACCTCTTCCAGCTTTTCTGGGAGGATTCCAAGGCGTTCCCAGGCCAACCGAGAGACATAGTCTCTCCAGCATGTCCTGGGTCTTCCCCGGGGTCTCCTCCCAGTTGGACATGCCCGAAGCACCTCCCTTGGGAGGCGCCCAGGGAGCATCCTTACTAGATGCTTGAACCACCTCAACTGGCTCCTCTCCACGTGAAGGAGTAGTGGTTCTACTCTGAGTCTCTCTCAGATAACTGAACTTCTCACTCTATCTCTAAGGGAGAGTCCAGCTACCCTGCGGAGAAAACTCATTTCAACCGCCTGTATCCACAATCTCATTCTTTCGGTCACTACCCAGAGCTCATGACCATAGGTGAGGGTAGGAACGTAGACCGACCGGTAAACAGAGAGCTTTGCCTTATAGCTCAGCTCTCTCTTCACCACAACAGACCGGTACAGAGTCCGCAATACTGCAGATGCTGCACCAATCCATCTGCCAGTCTCACGCTCCATTCTTCCCTCACTCGTGAACAAAATCCTGAGATTCTTGAACTCCACTTGAGGCAGAACCTCACCCTCGACCTGAAGAGAGCAATCCACCCGTTTCCGGATGAGGACCATGGCCTCAGATTTGGAGATGCTGATTCTCATCTCAGCTGCTTCACACTAGGCTGTGAACCACTCCAGTGAGAGCTGAAGATCACGGCACAATGACGCCAACAGGATCACATCATCTGCAAAGAGCAGAGATGGAATCCTGAGGCCACTGAACCAGAAACCCTCCGCCAGTTGGCCGCATCGAGAAATTCTGTCCATAAAAGTTATGAACAGAATCTGTGACAACGGGCAGCCCTGGCGAAGTCCAACTCCCACCCTCAAGGGGTCCGACTTACCGCCGGCAATGCGAAGAAAACTCTCGCACCGCTTATAAATGGTAAATGGACTGTACTTATATAGCGCCTTTCTATCTTATTTCAAGATACTCAAAGCACTTTACACTACAATCTGTGCCCTCATTTACCCATTCATACAGCACTCTACTAGATCTCTACAAAGCTAATTGAACAAATCATTCTAAAGAGACTAATCAGTGCTTTAGATCACATTCAAACACTGATGGGACACACATCGGAGGCTATGAGGGGTTCAGTGTCTTGCCCAGGGACACTTCGACATGTGACTGCTGGTGGATTCGAACCCCCAACTCTCGCATTGGAGGACGACTGCTCTAACTACTCAGCCACAGCCGCCCCTTGTATAGGGACTGAACAGCCCGTATCAACGGGTCTCCAATCTCATACTCACGGAGCACCCCCCACAGTGTACCCTGAGGAACACAGTCAAATGCCTTCTCCAAGTCCACAAAACACATGTAGACAGGATGGGCAAACTCCCATGATCCCTCAAGGATCCTCGTGAGGGTAAAGAGCTGGTCCAGTGTTCCACAGCCAAGACGGAACCCACATTGTTCCTCTTGGATCTAAGGTTCGACCAACAATCAAACTCACTTCTCCATTACCCCTGAATAGACCTTACCAGGGAGGCTAAGGAATGTGATGCCCCTATAACTGGAGCATACTCTCCGATCTACCTTTTTGAAGAGGGGAAACACCACCCCAGTCTACCAATTCAGTGGTTAAATGTTTAAATTAAACATTAAACCCAATTACATGTCATTGAATCAAAAACTAATTAGCCAGAACAATATGACCTACCTGTCGGCAGGTGAGCTTTCTGTCCTTGAAGCAGATCTTCAGAGGTCTAGAGGAGATGGGATGTCCTGATGTTCTGGCTGATCGTAGACATAAAAACAAAGTGTAGATCTTTATTTCATGTGTTGGTAACTGTTTTGTGTCCTCCTGGTCTTTCTCAGGGTTGTGTCTCCGTCTGTACCCTCAGTCCCTGTACGAGGATGGGATGGAGGAGGCCCACTGTCCCGGAGTGACCGAGGAGAACCTCAGCCACCTGGTTCTGCTGCTGAAGAGACTTGATATTGCTGACATGGGACAGTGCAAGTTTTTGGACAGACCAGGTACGTCTCAGAAACCTCCTGAACAGCATGATGACAGATGTTTGAGTTGACTCGTTAGCCCTTCTGATGCTGGTACAACATCTCTTCCTTCAGCTCCTGAGGCTCTGATGCAGGCCTTGGAGGACCTGGACTACCTCGCGGCATTGGATGATGATGGAAACCTGTCGGAGGTGGGAATCATAATGTCGGAGCTGCCGCTTGAGCCGCCGCTAGCTAAATCTCTGATAGCTTCCTGCGAGTACGACTGCGTAGATGAGCTGCTGACAATAGCCGCCATGCTAACAGGTAACCTCCTCCTCATGGGTAAGGTTTATCTAGCCCCACCCTTCAATGGGTGTGGCCTGATAGATCCCACCCACTGATTGTCACCTTATTTGATGGTTTTAACCTCTCTACGTATCTTTCAGCTCCTTCCTGCTTTATGGCTGCTGAATCCAACTCGGAGGAAGCTGCCATTGCTGTGTGGCAATCTCTGATGCACACAGAGGGGGATCACATGACCCTCATCAACATTTATAATGCCTTCATGGAGCGTATGTTCAGGTCCCCTGGTTTCAGACTCAGAGAAAACGTTTGAAATGACTTGTGGGTAAATGGTCCAACGGTTTTCATTTGATTCCAGATAATCAGGACGAGGCGTGGTGCACCGCCAATTTCTTCAGTCACGCCGCCTTACGGCTGGCGGCCGTAATCAGGGTGGAGCTTCTGGAGGTGATGCAGAGGATAGAACTTCCTGTTTCCCCCCCAGCCTTTGGATGCCAGGACAACTGCACTAACATCAAACGTGCGCTCATTTCAGGCTTCTTCCTCAAAGTGAGAAAATAAATTTAATCAATTCTGACTTAATTTTTTTTTTTTTTTATGGTTTATTGTTTATCAGAAAAAAACAAGAAGAGGTTTGAACATGGAGTTTCAAAATAAGACTGTCACAACTTCCGATTAGCTTTAGAGAAGAAATTTGCTGGAGTTTCAGACACCTTTCAGCATTTCTGCACAGACCTCATCCGTCATAATTTGTCCATTTTGTCTCAGGTGGCTCATGATGTCGACGGCGCTGGCAACTACCTCCTCATAACTCACCGTCATGTGGCCCACCTCCACCCTTTCTCCGCCTACCTGTGTCTCCAGCCGAGGCTGAGCTCCCCCAGTTGGGTCCTTTACCATGAGTTCACAGTCTCCAGCGATAACTGCATCTGTATCGCCTCTGAGGTCCATCCCCAGATGTGAGTTAGAACTGATGACGCCTTCTTTAGACTTTCTGTTGGTTTTAGAGAAACTTGCAGTAAAAATCACATTTTTGATTGATTTGGACTCTAAACAGAATTGGTCTACATTAAGTCATCACATTCTGACTGCAGGAGATTTATTTATATGAAATCTGAATAAAATTCTAATTTTCCTGCTTTAAAGTGTCAATAAAAACATTTGAGTGATAATTTATTTAATTAGTGATGCTCTTTGGTCAGAACCTGTTGTTTTCGAGCATTAATGACATTTCCTGTCTCGGCGTCAGGCTGGTGGAGCTGGCGCCACAGTACTTCCTGGGAAACCTGCCAGCGAGCGACGGGAAGGAGCTGCTGATGGAGCTCAGGCAGAGTCTGGTGCCTCCGCCAGGTGAGCTGGACTCAGACTCACAGGAACACAACAGGACTCAGAAAGACTCGGACAGGATGGCGGAGACTCAGAACCAGTCCAACATTGAACTCTGTGTCGTCCAATGAAGCAGAGGAGGAGGTGGAGCTTCTCAGGACTCAAGGCTGTCACTTTATGGTTGGATCTGAGCATTGGTACTTTTTTAGCAAATATGCTGTGAAATCTTGGATTTCAGCTGGAAAACACAAAGATTCTCTCTGCCTCTATCTAACACCATTACATGATGCCTGCTTCACAGTGGGGGTCGCATTTTTTTTTGTGTTTGACTTGCACTTCTTCTAGAAAACACTAATTATTTAGTTCTGAATAAATTTGCTGCACACCGGCTGTGGAAGACCTTCACACCTTTTACTGTTTTTTTTTTTAAATTTTTTTTATTGATTTTAAACTCCTATTTAATGAGTTGTTTCTGTGTTTGTGTAAGTTATAAAGTTGAATTTTTAATTAGACACCGTTTAAAAAATGTGGGTAAAACAAACATGGCGTCAGTTTTACGTCAAACACTTCAGCTAAAAGCAATAAACAGAACTTTAATGAGCTGAGAATCAGGTCGAGTTCTCCTCTTTGCAGACGACACCATGTTTTAACATGAGCCTCCAAGTGTCTGTCTGTCCAATGTTTTCATACAGTTTGGGTGTTCTGCTTTTTCTGATGTCCTCCTGCTGCCCTTTTCTTTTTTATGACCAAATAAAGAGTTTCTAATTAAACGGTTCATGTTTTAAGTTTCAACTGAGAGGTTGTCTTCAGACTCGGCTTTCAGACTGTTGTTTTCTGCATGGTTTTTTTTTATCTACTTCTGGGTATTTTTAATTTATTTTAGCCATTCATTTATCAGAACATTCTGCTCATTCAAGAGTCGAGTGCTGTGAATTTTTTTGTAATTTTCAAAATATTTAGCATTTACAAATATCTCTCCATATAAATTCATTCAGATCTCTTCAGTTCATTCTAAAGCATTTTTCTGCTTGAAATCTGCTTCAGCTGCTTGCTCTGTTTTGTCTTCTTAAGCTACTAGGCTTTTGCTACTTTTAGGTTCTAGTTATAGCCTTTTGCTAGTTATCTTTTAACCAACCTTTTGCTACTTTTTTATTTTGGCTAGCGCTTTGTTGTTTAGAGCTCTGTAACAGATGAAGATACACACTCGTCTCTATTAGAAACAAATGACAGACTCCAGTTTTATTGTTGATCCTTTAATGACTCAGAGGCTCGACACAGAACGGTAACTGTACAACCTTTAAATATTTAATATAATAGTTTTTTTCCTATTTTACTGTTTGCGGAGGAACCCTTTAATGTTGTCCTCGGCGGAGCTGCAGACCATCGGCAGGTTTTTCCTGGTGGAGTCCTGCAGGTCCAAGTCCTTCAACGTCTTCAGCTCCGTCTCCGTCTGTGACCGCATCAACTGGAAGAGAGATGGCTGTTAGCATGGTCAGTTTACCATTCGCATCGTGCTCTGAGAGGAGCGTGGTGGTTTAATACCTCCAGGTCTCTGGTGATGGAGTGGTTTGGTCCGTGGGTCGCCATCAGGATCCGGTACGCCCTACAGATCATATTGTGACCCGCCTCCACCTGCCCTGCATGCCAGAGGATGACCCCTGCTCGCATCATGGCCATCCCCAGCTGGGGGCTGTTAGGATGGAGCAGCTTCCTGTGAGAGAGGAAGAGAAGGGGCTTAGATCTGCACTCTACTGAGAAGGTTCAGTTTTACCCACTGAGATTTGGGATGACCAGGTCCAAACCTGGTTTACAGGAACCTTTATTGAATTGTTAGGCCCGAGCAGCGAAGCGCTGCGAAGGCCTATTGTAATCGCTCTGTTCAGGACCGAGCTGAAAATTTTTTGGCAAATGAATTGGCGTTTTGGGGGCCTTAACATATCCCAAAACTCATCAAATTTGGCAGACACATCAGGATTGCTGAAAAATTACGTATTTTAAGGGTGTCGCAAAAATTGCAACAGAAACGAATCAAGAGCGCCACCTGGAAATTTTCAAAATACCCTCTGCATTAACCTTAGTTTGTCGTAGAAGCATGACATTTGGTAAATGTGTGCAATTCCCCAAGCTGCACAGAAAACCCTATGGCAACAATATTGTACGATAAACAGGAAGGCGGCCATTTTGGAATGTCGTCCCAAAGTTCACATCTTTTGAAGGTTTACAGCCTCCGCATTTGAACGAACTCGTCCTAGGGATTTACTCAATCGGGTTCAAACTTGGCCAGTTGGTTCAAAATCAGAATCAGAATCAGAATGCCTTTATTGTCATTATACGCAGTACAATGAAATTAAGAGCCACTCCTTTTTCCAGTGCAAAAACACGCCTTAAGAAAACACACATTAAACACACACTAAAAATATAAAAAATGTAACGCAATATAGATATAATAATGAAAGTAAAAAATACAAGTATTACACAATTGTATTGCACATTATGGATATTAGTGAGGTAGTTAAGGTGACTGAGAGTATGAAATGTCAGTCAAAAGGCATGTCAAAAGGCATGGGGGATGAAAAGATATCTAAACGGTTAGTTTTGGAGCATGCTGAAGGGGCGGGGCCAGACCTTAAAGTTTGACATCTCGCCATGAAAAACGAAACGTTAATAGCTCCTACACGAAAACTGTCTGACACATCAAACCTTCAGTGATTGATCCACATCCAGTCCCCTGCAAGACTGAATGGTCAAATCATGACATCACTTAAGCCATGGCCCCTGATAACAGGAAATGTAAAGTTTTACGTTGAACGGTCCCTATCTGACCCCTGTTACCTGATCAGCATGATAGTGTGTCCAGTGACCGAAGACATGTTGGTGTAACTTGCTTGCCAACACTGACAGTTTTGGGTGGAACATGTGGGCGTCGCGACGTGGCGAAGTAAGACATAATGCCGTTGCCATATATTGGGCTCTAAATTCCACTTGAACAGGAATCCATGATAATTGGCCAATATTCTCCACAGCGCCCCCTAGAATATTTTAAAACCTCAGCCCCAAGCCATTTTTGGACAGATAATTCTGAAACTCGGTGAACATCTGTATTTTTTCAGGACCTATGAAAAAGTCTCTTGGAGCCCTGGTCCAAAACTAACATGAAGTCAGCCATTTTGGGTCAAATGGTCATTTTTGGGCGTTTCTAATTGCAAATTTTAACGAACTCCTCCTAGGGATTTTGAAGGATTACCTTCAAACTTGGTTAATGTGCCCTTAACACATTGGGGAGCAAAAGTTATCAAAAGCTTGCGTTTTCGTATATGTTAAAGAGGCGTGGTCAGGCCTCAAATTTGCGCTTGACTTCGTAAATTTCCAAACGCTGTAACTTTCACAGTGAAAGAGTGAAATGCACCAAACTTGGCATGACTCATCCCTGTTGATGCCCGACAAACCTCTGTGGTCATATTTTGACATTATCAAAGTCCCATCCCCTCAGAACAGGAAGTCACTTTTTTCATTTAGAATGCTCCCTCTCTGACACCCTTGACCTAATCAGGATGATCCTGTGTTAGAAGACATATAACAAGTTGGTCTGACTTACTTTAAATTACAAACAGTTTTCAAAGGAGGATGTGGGTGTGGCAACGTGACAAATTCAGAAGTGACGCCGTTGCAATACGTTTGGCTATAAATTCCACAGATTTGAACCGAGGTTCACAAAAATCAGTATGATCGATCATTATCCACCCCTTGAAAAGGAATCCATGATAAGTGGCTAATAGCCTCCACAGCGCCCCCTATATTATTCCTACAGTTATAGCTCAGTGATACATCATCCAATCTGGACCAGATTTATTGTATGTAATCAGTGAGCACTTTTACACACATTGGTATTGTGGTTTAACGCTACACTCCAGTGCACCCCCTATTTAATACCAAGTTACATCTTAGTGATACATCATCTGATCTGCACCTGATTTTTTGTGCTTCATCAGTGAGCACTTGTAGACACATTGGTATTGTTGATAAATGACATAACTTAAGCCCCACCTACTCAGAGAAAAACTGTTGATTATTGGATGATTCTTCCAGCTTCCCTGTATAAGATATTAGACTGAAACTTTGTTCACTAACTGTTCATTACCACACATGACATGTTGAAAAGCATAAAGGAAGTGCTTGTCAAACATTCGCCACAATACAGGAAGTCACCATAACTCCTGTCTGGAAGGTCGGATTTCGCCTATACTTGTAAGACCTGAAGCTGGACAAGTACTGACATGGACGGAAAGCGATGTGGAAGGTTAGGAAAATGCACTCCATGGTGAACACGTGCGGGACTGGCACGAGAGAGTTCACGATGGCGACTGGGTGGACTAGCTGGAGCTCCCGCGGTCGTCGTAAGGCCGGAGTGGCGCTTTGCTGCGAGGGCCTCCAATGCTGCTTGCAGCTTAAATTTAGATTTGTTTTTCTCACATCCTTACAGCATGACACTACCACCACTGTGCTTCACTATATGGGTGCTGTAAAACAGGAAGTAGGTCCACTTAAACACTCGTGGAGACAAAGTCTGAACGGTCTTTAAGAAATGTTGAAACTTTTAATTTTAAAAAGGCATCAGATGTGATTCTAATTTTTTTTTTTTACCTTCTACATTCTTATTTTTTAATCTCCAGATAATCTCTCTGCTTCTGCAGCTACTAACCACATAACAGCATGATACTACCACCACCATACTTCACAGTGGTCTTATTACCCAGGTGAAGAGGTCTGGTTTAATTTAAAACCTTTACATTTCAGACTTCCTGTAATGCGCCCCACACACCCAGAGGGCGAATCACTCACATGTATCCCTCCACCATCCTCCAGGCGAACTCTGCAGCCTCAGAGAACTTCCTCAAGTGTGAGTGCACCTCGGTGGCCACGCCCAGCGCTCGCAGCCTGAGCAGGTGAGTGTCAGCCAGAACGTCCTCCTGCTTTGCCAGAACCTCCAGACTCAACCTCAGTACCTAGAAGAAATAGGGGGTGCAGACATTCAGGAGACAATTTGTAGCTTCATACTTTCACCCTCGCAGCTTGGTGGTTACCTCGCTGTAATCTCCATCTTGTCCGGCTCTTTCAATCTTCTTCAGACTCTCCTGGCTGAAGGCCGACACCTCTTTGACTTTATCAGCCGAATGCTGAGGGATGGACAGGAAAACAAATTTAAAAAAAAAAAAATGTTTAGAGACGATTCTTTCAGAACCGGATCTGTTCAGCCATGGACCTTGCTCTCTGAAGACGCAGACATTAGGTCATCGCCCAGCTGCTGGCTGCAGCGCTGACAGCTGCAGTCAAAATGGAATCGCTCCTTCAGCTGCTTCTGCCTTTCAGCCGAAAGGTTCAGGAGGTCCACATAGTTGAAGGTCAGCTCCTCACCCTTGGAGATCTTCCTCAGAGCTCGCAGCTCCATCCTGGGGGAGATGAAGGAATCAGGTTTGGGGGTTTTTCAGTCTCTGCTCAGAGACTCAGACCACCGGCTCTTAAGGATGTCTGGATCAGGCGGTCTTTGTTTAGAGCCCCACAGAGGCAATGTTTGGAGGCACGTGTGAAGAACGTACCTGGTCTTGGAGTGCAGAGCGGAGCTCACAGCTGATTGGCTGCAGGAGACAAACATGAACTTGTTACTCTGAAGTTCTTTAAACCCAAACCGTTCCCGGCAGGTTGGACACCTACTTGCCATGGTTGAAGGTGACAGTACACCTGGGCCAGCAGTCGTGGTTCACCAGGCTCAGATTGGGGAAGAGACCCAAACCCACATTCTGCAGACCCCTCTGGTCTGTCAGGGGAAGTCCGTTAGACCTGACCTGCAGAGAAGAGGAGACCCCTCAGACCCTGAAGCTTCAGACGTTAAGGTCCAGAAATTATAAAAACATGAAGGTGACACCAACCAGGCCCAGAATGTGGCGGATGTAGCCCTCAGAGTGAAGCTTGGCGCCATCGATCCAGAACTTCAACAGGTTGTCCACGTCACTCTGGACCTTGTTCTGCTCCTCTTCAGGCAGGTCCTCCAGGTGATCCTTCAGCTGGTCTGCAGCTACTAACTGACTGTCTGAAGCCAGACCCTGGTCCTTCCTCCGGCGCCACATCACTCGGGCTGCCAGGCTGCGCAGGAGAGCCAGGTCAGGACGGGCCGGAACCACAGGAGGTCCAGTCAACCAACACTACGTTCTCATTGGTTGTTCTTTTAACGAATGTTCATCACCGTACATCTTACCGGATGTTCTGGTTGGGAGCAAAGCCTGAACCCCGTATGGCAGCACATTCCTGCTTGTGTTCCTCCCAGCATGCACTCTGGCAGGTGCGGTCGCAGTAGTGGGCGAACCGGCACTGAGCGCAGCGCTGCAGCTTGGTCTGCCGGCGGAAACAGCTGTGGCACACCTGATAGACCAAACTGAGGGAAAAATGTAACAACTGAGTCATGCTGATGCACAGACGGTTTTATTTTTTAGTTTAAAGATCAAAGTTCTGTCAAATTCTGGGCTGTTTTTTCTTAGTTTGGGTTTTTAGGTCAGGTTCTGCCATCACCAACAGATGTCCTCCAAAGGCCTTGTCTCCAGCTCCTGAGACATACCACCTGTCCTCTGTTAGTAATCAGCACACATCTGTAATGTCTTCAGTTCTTGGTTCTGTGACCCATGTTTCTGATTGGTTCTGATCAAAACGTTAGGTTTGGGTCCATTTTCACCAAACGAGAAACAAATGCATTTAAATGTTGTTTTACTGAAAGCTGCTGCAGGAGAACAAACGTTCTCAGGTTTCGACAGCAGGTTGGTCACAGCGATACTCGGATTGAGCCACTCACATGCACGAGCGTTCAGGTCTCTATCTGCCTTCCTGTCGTTCATTTCAGCCGTTGTCAGAAATGCTCCCAAACGTTTTGGCTCCAGACCCAGAAAACCACAGTAGTAGAAGCTAATGGCTCCAGCTTTCACCAGTTTGGGTTCAAACCACTACACGTGTGTATTTTAAGGACCCCTCGTGGTGTTTCACGACCCTCAGTGGGCTCCTGACTTAAATTGTAGGAACAGTAAGAACTTTCTGGACTCAGACTCTCCCTGGTTTAAACACAAATCGTGACAGTACCATTTTACTGCTTCTGTTCCGTCCGGTTCTGTTGGAACGTAACCATCTGTTTTTCTTCATCTTCCTATGAGCCCAGTTCTGGTGAGGACCATGGATCCTAGTCAGGTCTTTGATGGATCTGTTCCTGTTTCCTAACGTCTTTCAGATTCTTTTGGATCTGAAGCTGCTTGTGTGAATGTTGCCTGTCACTTAATCTGACCTCCCATCACAACTTCTCGTTAACTCTGTTCCTGTGTCAAATAAGCACGAGATCCTGAACTGTCTCAACAAACATTTTGTTGCTTCTAGTTCTTTATTTGACACAGTTACTAATGGAAGATCAGCCACTTCTCCTAAAAGTCAAACATCTACAAACCAAATCTCTCCTACAAGTCAATCTTCAGTAAACCACACATTTTCATTATGTTCAGTCAGTGAGGTTAATAAATTGTTAAATGATCTTGATCCAAAAAAATCTGAAGGACCAGATGAACTTCCACCTTATTTCTTAAGGCTGGCCGCTCATATCATTACAGTCCCTGTGACCCACATCTTCAATCTCTCCATAAGACAAAACTCCATCCCAGACACTTGGAAAACAGCCTTTGTTCTTCCTTTGCTGAAGGGAGGAGACCCCACCTCACTGAACAACTATGGACCAATCTCTAAACTCTGTATTTTAGCCAAGATTCTAGAAAAAATGATAAACTCTCAAATCAAAAATTACCTGGACTCATTTAACATCTTACCTCCACATCAATCTGGTTTCAGGAAACAACACAGCACAACCACTGCTTCACTGAAGGTTTTTAACAACATTCTTGAAGCACTAGATGCTAAAGATTATTGTGCTGCACTTTTCTTAGACCTGTCTGAAGCTTTTGACACTGTGGATCATAACATCTTGTGTCATAAGCACTCAGAAATCGGTTTCTCAGATCACACCATTGGTTGGTTCTCTAACTATCTCTCAGTTCGGAGGCAATGTGTTCAACATAATGGTATTTCCTCCTGTTATTTAAGTCAACAATGGTGTAACACAAGGCTCTGTCTTAGGATCCACCCTCTTTACAACCTATTTTCAATTCAATTCAATTCAGTTTATTTATATAGTGCCAAATCACAACAAAGTTGTCTCAGGGCACTTTACAGGAACATTCACATATACATAAAAGTCAATTAGTAAAGTTCTCTATCTAAGGAATCCAGCAGACAAGTTGAATCTTCACTTCGTTGCAGTCTCCCATCCTGAGCAAGCACAGTGGCAACAGTGGAAAGAAAAAACTCCCTTTTAAAAGGAAGAAACCTCCAGCAGAACCAGACTCAGGACAAGCGGTCATCTGCTTTGACCGGCTGGTTGAGAGGACAGGAAGGAGAGACAGACGAACACAGAATGGTAGGTCCAGGTATAACTGAAAGACAAAAAAACACATTAGGATAGAAAGAATAATTACAAATACAAAACAGGTTGAGCAGAGTAAATAAAGACAGTAGCAGAGTGAAAAGTGTGGTCAGTTTGTCCTCCAGTAGTCTAAGCCTATAGCAGCATAACTAAGGGACAGCTCAGGAAACCCAAGTAGACACTAACTACAAACTGGATTCCAAAAAAGTTGGGACACTAAACAAATTGTGAATAAAAACTCAATGCAATGATGTGGAGATGGCAAATGTCAATATTTTATTCGTAATATAACATAGATGACAGATCAAAAGTTTAATCTGAGTAAATGTAACATTTTAAAGGAAAAATATGTTGATTCAAAATTTCAGTGTCAACAAATCCCAAAGAAATTAGGACCAGTAGCAATAAGTGGCTGGAAAAAGGAAATTGAGCATATAACAAACAGCTGGAAGACCAATTAACACTAATTAGGTCAATTGACAACATGATTGGGTATAAAAATCATAAATCATCTTCCTCTCCTGTGTGCCCGGACCAGGTAACCAACGGGAGTTGTCGGCCGGTGCGCAGCTCGGACCGACCTGGAGGGGCTGTTATTGAAAACCTGCGGCCATTGCCGCGCACTAACTCCACCACTGCTGGCTCCACTTCAGACAGTATCCGGATGTGTTTGGTCAACGCAAGATCTGTTACCAACAAAACTTTTGTCCTCAGGGATTACTTTCAAGAGCACGATCTGGACTTTCTGTGCATCACAGAGACTTGGATGTCTCCGGGTGAGTCCAGCGCCTTGACGGATTTACTGCCACCGAACAGTCTGTATTTTAACGCCCCGCGGCCATCAGGCCGACGCGGTGGTGGATTATTAACAATATTCAAATCAACTTTTGACTGTAAACAACTGCCCATCCCAGTTTCCCACGCCAGCTTTGAGCTGAGCGTCTTTGAACTTGGCCATTCACCTCCGACGTTATTTGCACTCGTCTACTGCCCACCTCGATCTAAGGATTTCATAAATGAGTTTTCTGACTTCTTGGCTGAAATCACACCAAAATATGAGCATGTTTTCATTATTGGGGACTTTAATTTGCACGTGTGCTGTCCTGAGAAGCCCTTGGTTAAGGACTTTTTAGTTCTATTGGACTCATTTAATTTAACTCAGCCTGTAAACGGTCCCACCCAAGAGCATGGACATACACTGGACCTTGTTTTAACTCATGATATGACTGTTAATAATCTTGTTATTGGTGATAATGTTTTCTCAGACCACATGCCAGTCCGGTTTGAGTTCACCCTCCCCCACCTAACTCCTAAGTCGTGCATTCCTGCACGTAGGACCCGGACCATTAACCACTTCACTGCCGCACGTTTCACAGATGTTTATAACTCTGAAATGATCATTCACCCCCCAGTGTTTCTCACCACCACTGAGGAGCTGACATCCCAGTTCAACTCTGTCTGCTTAAAGACTCTGGATCATGTTGCACCTGTTCAAACCAAAAAAATCAAAAATCAAAGCAGAACCTTGGCTGAGTGACGTCACCAAGGCCGTTGGGCAGCAATGTAGGAGGGCGGAGCAAAAGTGGAGGAAAGACAGGCTGCAGGTCTCTTTTCAAATACTTAAAGAGAGTTGACGCCGTTATCAGAAAACAGTAAAAGCTGCTAAATCAAAATTCTTCTCTGATATAATTACATCAAACTCTCACAACCCACGTGTCCTCTTCTCCACCCTAAACTCTGTTCTCCACCTCACTGAACCATCACCTCTGGAAGCCTCGACTGAGCTGTGCGACAACTTCTTACATTTCTTTTTGGAAATAATTGCGACCACCAGGGCTCTCATTTCCCCTCCAACTCATGACCCATACATCCCACCTCAATCTGTAGCTCTATTTGACCATTTTGAACCCATCACTCTATCTTCTCTAGAGCAGGTCGTGTGCAGCTTGAAACCTTCTGGCTCTCCCTTTGATGTGGTCCCCCCTCGACTACTAAAGGAGGTGTTTCCAACTCTAGGTCCGTCCATTCTTGATATAGTAAACAGTAGTTTATCCACTGGCGTGGTGCCAAAATCCTTTAAACATGCTGCTGTCCAGCCTATCCTGAAAAAACCCAAACCTTGACCCCTCAGTCGCTGCCAACTACCGGCCTGTCTCCAAACTCCCATTTGTTTCTAAAGTACTGGAGAAAATAGTCGAGTCCCAGTTGAAGTGCTTCCTGGAGGATCACGCCATCTTAGAGCTATTCCAATCTGGCTTTAAACCTCTCCATAGCACTGAAACTGCCCTGCTGAAGGTCTTTAACGACATCTTCAGATCCACAGATACTGGTGATTCTGTGCTGCTTGTCCTGTTGGACCTCACAGCCGCCTTTGACACCATCGACCATGAGATCCTCATTGCTAGGTTGGAGCAGTGGGTGGGCGTCACAGGGTCAGCCCTCAATTGGTTCAGATCTTACCTCGCTGACAGATCCTTTTGTGTCTCCATCAAGGATTTTAGTTCCGCAGAGGCAGAGCTTAAATGGGGGGTTCCGCAGGGGTCCATCCTGGGTCCCCTCCTATTCTCTTTATACCTGCTGCCACTTGGTGCTATTTTCCGGAAACACAACATGCCCTTCCACTTGTATGCCGATGACTGTCAAATTTACTTCCCCCTAAGACACAATGGTACATGCTCTATTCAACCGCTGCTCAACTGCCTGGCTGACATCAGGGACTGGATGGCTTTAAATTTCTTGAGTTTCAATGAAAAGAAGTCTGAAGTCATGTTGTTCCCTCCCAACGACACGATCACAAACCACTGCATCGACCTCTCCGCTCTAACCCTGTCAGAAAAACAAAGAGTCACTAATCTGGGAGTGATAATGGACCCTTCCCTGAAGCTTAACAATCATGTAAACATGATTGTAAAATCATGCTTCTTCCA